ACTTATAATCAGTGCGTCCTAATCCGGCTAATTAAGTTAAACACTACAGGTTATTGATAAACCAACATTTTTAACATTCGGTTTAAAATATTTTTTTCATTTCTCCTCCAGTACACAACTATGTAAGGAAACTTTAAGCCTTTATTAAGGCAATTTATAAATATTTTCGTTTCACCCATACTCAACTCTATCACGAAACGTATTTTAATAGAGATATTATTGATCTAACATCGTTCGTAGCGTTTCAGACGGCTTTCCAATTTCAATTAAATGGCTCATAAATTCAAAGAGCCAAATATTTAGTATTAGTAAACCGCTTTCTACCATATCTAATACAACGTTGCATAAGAGATTACGATCTTGATCGATTATGGTAATGGCGTGACGTAATTTTTCTCTAAGCTTTTGGCTCTTGGTATTACTGAACGTAGGAACTGTGTAGGTACTTTTGATGGAGGATGGTCCTTACATGTTAAAATACAACCTTTTTTTTGTTATTTCTTGGTTTTGAACTTAGATGTAATAGAAGAATATTTATGTTGCTTACAGGTAAATAATCAACAGCATATAAAATACGCAATCAGTTAATTTACGTACCTATCTATTACACATATGTATCACATAGATTTCTAAGAACTTTCGCACGTTTGTTTGGCTTTAAAGCTTTTCAAAGTACTCGAGAGTATATTGGTTGTTCACAAACCGTTCGGTGTGGTATTCATTTCATTGTTCTGCAATTTGAAATTCGATAAGTATTTCGTTCGAAATTTAAAATGTGTTCGATAAATCTAAAGTATTTAAAATTCGAACCCTAATAGATAAGTTGTTTTGAACGTGAATTAGTTCTGTGTTATCGACGTAATACAGTACTAATTCAGTTTACCCCATGCCCCAAGACGCATGACGTCACTGGGTGGTCACCCACCGGCTCAACATAATTATTCATTAAGCGACCAATTAAACAGCAATATGCTCGTATTAGTAAGACTTAATAGTTTTTTACTTTCACTGCTCCACTTGTATCGACAGAGACGATCAATAACGAATTGCGTCTTTACGTGCTTTTAAAAACATTTTGTCATCAATCCGGTCGAACGAGTGCCGCAAAGCTTTTGTCAAAGCTCACGAGATGAAATCATCTGAGAAATAAAAACAAGTTGCTCAATTCTATGACGTAACTTTGTATGCTACAAGTGTGTTATGAAAACAAACACGTTTTAGTTAAAGTGATCAAAATGGGAGATTAAGATTCGATTCTAACTAACTAAAATGGTCTGTAATACATGTTCATATTAGGATTGGATTGTGTAATATTGTAGTAATTTATTTTTATTAAAAAAACTTATCATATTGCTCAAGTTGGTAACCGTCTTACATGTTTTTTTTTTATTATTGTTTTACATTGGATTATAAACTTAATATTTACGTAATAATACTTTTTTTATGAAAACGACCAGTGTCAAATTAACTCAATAGATAGCAACACATCAAAACGATTATTTTCATATATTTTACGAACATTGTTTATTACTTATTAGCGGTTTTTAGTGTTTGCAGCGCCGAAGACAGCGACCTCGATATACACAATAAATAAGTATGGAATGCGGAACGATCCTCTTACAATTGTAATTGTCAATCGGGGAAATGCGGATGAGTCGGTCATTTTTTAAATGGCACAATCGTGGGAAAATTTTAAAAAGAGATCGATACATAATTCTCCACATGCCAGAAACTGAAAATAATGACATTTAAAAAAAAACTCTAAATGATCTAACTCTAAAATAACTAAGATTTTAATGTTTCGTTAACTTAAAAAAAAATCCTTTGATTTATATTTTGTGTAGTTTTCTAAATATAAATATATATAAACACAATGATTAATTTTAGTAAATACCTAGTATTATATAGTTAATAACAGGTGCGGCCATATTAATTAGGTACTACATAATGATAAGATTAAAATTACATCACATACACACACACAACAACAATACATTTTGATTCAAAGTGCAAATAACAAACTTTATACGCTCAGTTATTATAAAGAATAATTATAACCGTAGAATTTTAAAGTCTTTAAACCCCTATTTTATATTTTTGGCACCAATAAAGCTAAAAGAATATTAAAAGGATCTCTTTTCAAAAAATTTAAGTTTCTCGGCGGCTTATAAGTGCGCAGTACTTAGGTGCTGAGAATGGTGCAGATAAAAAACACCTCATAAACGGCATTAGTTCAATCTCGATTTTATTGTCTTCACAGAGCGGTTACAGGTCGTGTTTTCCTTTCACTTTGCCCCGACGAGTCCGAAGAATGTACGTTGATATCCAAGTACAGGGCATAGAGGTAGGTCAGAGACACGAGCGAGTGAGATAAATGGACACAATATTGTAGTTTAAACATGTCTATCCTATAGAAATAATTATTCTTATAAAATTAGGTATGGAATTAATATAAGTTTATTTATCCTGTGCAAAGAAACATTTCTAGAGGATTACCTATATAAATACTTGCGCATGTAGCACAGTAGGACCATGTAAAATATAGTCTTGGTACACTGGCAACATATTGACGTTTTATAAGTTTTTTTTACGTCCTCGAATTGTACCTGGTGAATCACCTGTTCGTTTTATTAGCGAACTTATTTCTCTTTCTTTTAAATTACGATATAATCCTTTACTATTTTATGACGAACAAAAGAAAAGTATGAATGGGTAAGGTAGTGAAATTAAAGCACTTTCATAGTACTATGACAAAATCAATGACATCCAGTTTGTAAGCGAACAATTTTATGTATTCTATGCATGTTCCTCGAAAAATCTTTTTCTTCACGGGAATCATGCGCACAGGCAAAGTACGCATCGATTGTGGTAGTCGAAAACTAAATTAAAGATTCTGTATCAGCTCGATAAGGAAAAGGCCAAATCAAGCAACGACTGGCCTTGATTTACAATACAAAAGCGTTAAGTAGATAGCGATGTATTATCTAGGTAAGGAAAGTTGGTAAGCCGTAGGTACATTGCCGGTGAGACCTGGCCTGCGGGGTCAACGCCACGAAATTATGAGAACACTGTTACTTTCAAAGGTCGAGTAACGCGAAGTGGCATAGGGCGCCATTTAAGTTGTTTTTGATATACACAAAAGTATTGTTAGTTTTAGACTTATCTAATTGTGTATCAAGGTAAACTGGGTGATTTAATATTTAAAATTATATTCAGTTACTCAGATGTAAAAAGTCTTTAATAAGCACATATGAGGCCGTTAGACGCAGAGTAGCATTTCTATAGTTTAAATTTCTATAGTCTAAAAATGTTAATCTACAAGAGCACAGAGTGACCGAATATTGTTAACAAATAATTCTTACGACACTCATTTTCGCCTAAGCTAATTGCGTATTTTTATTTTCCTCCTAGACTTAAAAACATGTTTTTTAATATTAAGCCAATCTGTCGTTAGCAGCCTCATATATCCTACATGGGGCATGGGAACGTTCCCTCGTCTCGTTGGAAAGAAAGAGACAAGAACATCTTACGTCATTTCATTAGTTATTTACTTTAGAAGTACATAATTGATACTTGAACTACATATTACTACAGCTAATTATTCAGTTCAATTATCAATAATTACGTAATATACTTTCAATACTAAATCGTTATCAATTAACATTATGGGATGTACTAATAGAACACTAGACAGCTGTACACGGAAATCAATCATTAAAATGTAATACAAACTAGATACGATAAGCAATTTAAAAAATCCACTATAAGATTAATGACAGTAAGCGGAACACTATTACATAAATTTTGACGAAATAAGTTATTCTATCGGTTTATTGAGTCAAAGAAGAAGTAAATTTAGCTATTACAGCTGAAAACACAGTGATTTTAAAGAAATACCGAGGAATCTATTATATATGTCCTTACTCCCAATTTGTGACTAAAATATGATATATGCAATATGGTACTATTAAAGGTGCATTATGCAAGCAAGTAGAAATCCTGGCAACCAAAGTTTTTATTGTTTCCCCGACCTTCAAACCCAAGATCTCTCATGCCTAGTACTCAATTGAGCCACAGAGAGTGTCCGACAAGCGTCAATTGATATTTATAGGAAAAATAATGTTTGACCTAAAGTTAGGTACGATCGTTAAATCAAAGTGCGTCTACGCATATAATCGTAGTTGCAATATTATTATTTAGCAAAGCTTCTAGAGAGTATCGTTACGATCCATTCCAAATTTGAATGAACAAATGCGATAATACTAATAAAGCCTCATAAACATCCGCTTCCGGCAAATCTTTATAGAAACGCACCGCGTTTATTTCGAAAAAAACCTGCTGGCTGGTAAAGAGAAATTAATGTCAACACTTCCTTATTTATTGTGTCAATGGGGCAGGTCTTTATATGATATTAATTATGACATCGAGTTAATGTAATTACACTACAGACCCAATTCGGATACCCAAGAAACAGTAAGAGAGGAGTAACTGCCAGACATCTTTTCCAGTAAACTTTATTCCACTTAAATCTATCGTCCCAAAAAGCCTTCACTCATACACTCGTATTTTTGTTAGTCCATATAACATGTCACAATACATTGTATATATATATTATTGGGCTACTTATAGTTATTAAGTACTGAAATTATAAAATATTACAACTTCACAATTTTTTTGGGCATTTAAATACTTAATTATTTCATATGTATTATATCTTGTCTAATTGTTTATAACTTAATTGACACACTGCTTAATTTATTATGACATGTAATTTAAACCTGTATATAAAATGATATAACAAAAGTTCAAGTCATCCAAATATGGACATTTAAAGCAAACTTAAAATTGCATAAAAATGATTATACAATTTTGTCAGATTTCTGGGTTAATGGACTTCCTATATTGAGACGTTGAATACAATCAAAATATTGTGCAAAGTTTGGACATAAAAAGAACATGTTTATTATTAATTCTCAAATTATATCATTAAATAAACTTACAGCTCCTCCCGTTGCCGTTGTGACAACACCATTTTCATTGTGGTCGGGTGACGCTTAAGGCAGCGGGCCCGGATTTACTGTTCTTGAGTCTCACAGGTTCACACTGGCGACGGCGGAAGTGCCGTTGCCATTATCACACCTGGCGGAGACAAAAATTTGTTGGTAACAGCAACTGAGCCTTGTCTTAATGCAATTCTGAATGAAATGAAAAACATATATTCTATGGGGGACAAGAGTATAGAAGCTTTCAAGACTAGGTAATTAATTTTATTATCATAAAAGTAAATTACATACGCTGGTCAAGCAAAATCTTTAACTATGTTTTACCTCAGTACAATGACACTGGCCAAAGTCTTAAAAATCAATGTTAGTTAAACTCTCTCAGGCAAAAAATAATTAAGGTAGAGCAACAGCACCAAATGCTGACAACCTGCCGATTCAAATCCTGCCCGAGTCGAAATTTATTTTAATTTATTTAAAAAAAATAATTATATTAAGAAAGATACCAAGATATATAGCATAAACAATGCTGTATTTGTAGGGACCAATAATGTATATTCTGAAATGTAGCTTTGTTTGTGAGGAATAAAGTGCATGTAACGTAAAAAAGTTTATAATGACATTGGACTAAATATCAGAAGGCAAATTTTTGCTATTTATCAAATAATTTATAATGCTTTTGGCTGCCTCATTAGTTAAATATATTGGCAGGATTGTATTAAGCACGAAAGGTTGTAGTCAAGCACTACACAGAAATCTAATCAAATACTTGCTTGTAACTAAAATCAATCATTTGAACAAAGTAATCTGTTTGCCCCATAACTAGACAAAATAAGATTTAATGGTTTTATTCTCTATTTAATCAATATGAAAAATAATAGCTTTAGAACATCAAGCTTCACTGTCGGAAGTAAAATAACAAAAGTGACATCAAAGTCCTTAATAATGTATCAATTTCATTGCTTACCCGCACAACTTTTTTGGCTTCTTCTATAAGAAAATTTAAGCAACTATGGCTTCTATGTCAAGGATAAATCTATCAATATTTTAGTTTAATTACACAATTGACTGGTCATCAACCTTTATATTTAAACAAAAACAGTTCTAGTTTATATCAAACAAAATGCAGAGCTGCTTTAATGGCTTAATTAAAGAAATATTTATGTTTATAACTGATAAGTAAAAAACTTTTACATTCTTCAATAATAAAAAATATAAGTCAATGCAAAAAATATTTTATTGCACAGCTGATTTGTTTGGTAGAAAAAATTTAGCTCAAATCTTAGCCTAACTGAAAGCAATATATACAATGAATGAAAGAAGAAAAATAATAAAAAGTAAAAATAAAATAGATTATACAGGGAATGCTAGTGCAAAGTTTATGAAATTGATTTTCTTTAATATTTTGTGAAATGACTCACAAATCTTAAACGTCAGTAGGGCTCTGTCAATTTGCCACATCAACTAATTAGAGGTTTATTCAAAATATATTGCGGAGACTCGTGCAAAGCACCTTTTATCCTAAAAACATTTTATCGAGGAATCTACAATATGTACATTATTAAATTTAGGAAATAGCAGAACGGCCATATTGATTGAACGGTAACCGAAGCAATAAACGGTTTTATGAAATCGTCATCACGTAATGGGTTAGATAATATTTATACTTACAAATGGAAATATAGAAACACTGTTTTGCACCTATTTTGGCTAAATTACACACACTTTTTCACACTTATCACAATGACTCGAGGCAGAAATCCCTTTTCGTTGCAATCAGCAATGGAACAAATTCAGTATTCACAGATCACTACTCGGTAGTATTAGTCCGTAAACTGTCCAATGCGCTGACATAAGTCACAACTCTAGTATCTATAATAGGTCTGCGCACAAGTCGATGTCGCCCAATCGCAGCCTCCCACAGATAATACAACAGACTACGAAAAAGATTTGTTGATCGATTGTCAAGATATACAGGTAGTTTTGATAGATTATGTTACTAAGAGATTTTGCGAGCAACTAACAAAGGCTATATCAACTTCTTATTGCAATAGCAACTCTTTCAATATAAAGTATTTGACAGTTTTATTTTCATTATTTTTTTTTTATGAACTACAACAAACGTTAACGTTAAAGTTATTTAGTATGATTATATCACGCATGATACTAACAGGCACTACCACACTAGAATCATCGTGGAGTTTTAAATATACATTATGGTGTTATCGAATCAGTGATTCATAGACTAAGGAAGGTACGAAATAAATGAAAGAAAAACGGCAAAACCACAGACATACTAATTTTTATTCAGAAACCGAAGTTCCAATCGAGTCAACTCAACAAAACAAATGTCTGATTTTTCACCCATTTCGTAAGTTCTTCGAGGGATATATTTTCTACCAACGCCTTATTACTTCTTTTACTTGGACATATAAGTGATTTTACGATTGCAAAGATCCTAATAAACGTCAATGGTTAAACAGTATACCTATTATCCAAAATTGACGGGATCTTTAATTGACTAGTGTGCGAAAGGAATCAAGTTTCATATTTTTCAAATCGCGATGTTTAGTCGTTAGTATCGTTAGAATCTCGTCTTGGTGATACTTTTTGTGCGATATATTCTTCAATATGGCAGTGATTATCGTCGACCTTTCACTATTATGCCAACGTTTATAGTATTATTTGCCGAATATGATGTGTTATTTGTTAGGACTGCGCGGGCCCTAGATGCTAACTTTGCAGGCTCGCTGTAGGATGGTGATAGCAAAAAATAAGCAATTGAAGCCACAAATGACTGCTACCGCAAAGAATATGGATTACACTTGGACAGCTGGCTCAGAGCCCCCAGCCAACAAACAGGATGTGGGTGTCCCTAGGGCAGTATTTATTCCACATTCAAACTCATTACCATTTGAAGAAAGGCGAGTGACGTTAGAAGAGCCAGTTAAGGTAAAGATTATCAGACATCTATAACATTTTTTCTATTCAATGCATATTATTTAATACTCCTGAAATATGTAAAACTGCATTTTAAAAATGAAAACTTTTATCTTTGGTAAATTTTCCTAATAAGCTTAAATTTTGTATTTGTATAATATCAATGTTATATTTTAATAGCAGAATTCTCTTTTGGTTATTACTCGTAACACATAGACCACAGAAAAATCATATTAGAATCTATTATAATAACACTCAATTAGATCCTATTTAAAACCTCTTGACAGGAGAATAACATAGGCTTATAAATAATTATGTCTATTGTTTTATGATTAGAGTTCAAAGTTTATAAATGTGGCAATAACTTCCTTATGATATTAATTACAAGATAAGGACTTAGTCTATTTTAAATTAGAAAAATAATCTGGTTAGTTTTAGTTCTTGACCAAATGTGCATAAAATATAAGGTAGATAATGTTTATTAAAACTGAAATAAAATATACTTTAGTCTTTGTAAAATTATTTAGATTTATAAAAAAAAATATTTAATAATATGTTTGTTGTGATTCTACAAAGTGTTCAAAAGAGCAACAGAACTGAGAAGAACACCCACAAAACTCAGTCTAGCTTTTTTCAACATGTCTTACAAACTAATACATTTTTGTGAATTTAATGACCTAAGGAGCAATTCATATAACTCCCACGCAGCCCTATCAAAGAAGTCTTTTAAACAATAATACACCTTTAGAGACAATCTAAATTACATACAAATACAATTACCCGCAAATGAATTAGTTATTTTATGGAGCCAATATTTGGGGATTAGCTTATCCTTATTTCTTATTCTTATTCATATTTTACTGACATGCTATAGAAACACAAACATAATACAATATATAACATTATATTTTAAATCTTAGTTACTTAACTATTTATCATCTCTTAATAAAATTATTAGTTATTTAGATATATAATACAAAGCACAACAATAAATTTCTATTCTGTAAGCTGAAAATGTCTATGTGCTAGATAAATTTGATTGGCATTTTAAGATAATCTTATCAGATTAATCTATGAAGGATGTTTCCTGTGGCGGTTTGTGGTCCCTTTCCGATTAAACAATTTTATTGCCTTTGAACCTAGTGTGGTACTAAATACAAACCTGAAATATTTACATTTCACGTTACACTGAGCGTTTTGCCTAGCATTGCATTAAGCTCTGGGCTTGGTACCCAGTAAAAGATAATTAATAGTTCAGTTGTGCCGATGACACACAAAAGTAAATGTAGTATTATACTTTTCTTAAGATATAAATTACAAAATAGCTTGAAAGATGATCCGAAACTAGTAATGAAAGTGCCTATATGTATATACATATACTAAACCTATTGTACATATATATTACAATACTCTAAGCTAAAGTTAAGTGGTTTAGAGATGTATTGAGATTAGCTAATCAGATAACCATGTCATGGTGTAGGAGGACAGTTTGTGGTAGACAGGCTTTATCAATGATCTCTGTATTGAGTAATATGAAACGACTTTGTTTTATGTTCATGCCTTATCAGTTTGTAACCTTTCGATTTCTACACATGTATAGAAATTTTTATTTAAACTAGTTGATGCTTACATGACAAATGGAAATGTAAATGGCTGTTTCTTGCCAGTTTCTTGTCTTTTTTTCTGGTTGTAGATCCCCAATTTCAGAACAGGAGTTCAATCAACCCTATTTATTCAGATATTATACCTATTTATACAGAGAAGAGACATGTTTACTGCTTCATTGATCGTTTTATTACAGGCATTAAATTCTATGTTCTGCCCAATTAAAATATTGTTTAAAAACATTAATATTTTTCACATGTTATTGCACATGACGGCACTATATAATTTAAAAATCGAAAAAACTTTCGACTCGGGCAGGATTCAAATTAAGCATTGAGCCAAACAGGGTTCTTTAGTTATTTAACTAAATATTAAATATGTATTTACATATAAATGAAAAATTAGAATATTTATATACGTAATACAAATTATAATTTTGACCCTGCCCATGATTCATACCACTGCCACTATTCATGCCAATCTGACAATCTAAAGCCAAAATAGATCGACAGGGCTATATGACTGGAGTACTTCACGGGCCATCAAGTGATCATGAGTATCATGTTTGTGTGCCCTCTTACATAAAACAAAACAAATTGTTTATAGAAATGACTGCTTAGCTCATTGGTCCTAGAAGAAATATAATTCATTCCCGCTCCATTTGGTCTTACGAAATATCACAGCCCCCATTATTATGGTTATGGGCCTACATATCTCATTGTACTTCCTCCATAATACTTTGATAAGATTAACTTCCGCTACACGCGTTGCAGATGGGTAGCTAGGAATAGCTGCATTTAATCTTGTTAAATTTAATTGCCAATGTACAATTGTAACGTCTCGAGTGCCCTGGGTCATACTGATTGACTCTAGACTGGGTGCGCCTGACATCCGTACGGAATAACTTTACTGCGACTGCGGCTGCGCTGTGCACTAGTTTTTTATAGGCTCGTTGGTGTAATGGCTAATCAACGGGTCGTGGGTTTGATCCCCACCGACATGTTTCAGGGTGGTACGTATATCGAAAGTCCGGGTTAAAACTTACAAACAACGTCCGCAGGTGAAAAAGCCGTGAAGTGTAATCTCGTGTCGGTGTATATATTAATATTAGTAGTAGTAGATAACTACCAGAAAGTCAAGGCTATGCTTGCCTTCCCTCCTCTATTATATACATGACTGCCTTAGAGGATCATTGGGTTAAACAGCAGGTCCAGGTTTTAATCCCCATAAAAAGTTTAGGCGAGGAAGAGCACAGTCTTCAGTAGTCGTCAGGACTTGCTTGTTAAATTATATTTCAAGAAAAAATAATTTTAAACATGATATTTTTTTTTTGGAATAGTTTATGCTAATAAACATTTGAGTAACGGAATATTTTTTTGCTACGCAGAATTATTAAAGACAAATCTCCTTTCATAAAACCGAGCTTTCTACAAACATTCTTGATGTTTAACAAAGAAGTTTAAAATTTATTTGTCTTTTCAGAGCTCGATTACCGTATACAAACTTACGTGACTGATAACCATATTACAGAGAGATATAAATTGAAAGAATAAATGTGATCATATGTACTAATTCAGATGAGAAATGAATTAATTGTTTTAAGTAGATTTTTTGTGTATTTGTACCATCTAATGTAGAAAAAAAGATATATTGTAGAGACAGATTTTGTTGTATTAATACTAACTAATATAGAAAAATATATTTAATTATTATTATTTATTTTCTTGGTCGATTGATTCTAATATAGTATAAGGCACTACCGTTAAAATTTATAGGTATTTTTCAGTTCCGTATTATTTTTTATCCAGGAGGCAAGTGATCTATCCCCTGGGTACGCCCATGTGTGGTAGACCTTTCATAAATGTGTTTTTTCAGATCGGCAGATACGTCTACCGCGGCTCACCCTGTCCGACCAACACGATTTTCGACTGTCGAGTACTCTCGCGGCATCACGCTACACTCTACTATGATAAGGGGCATTTCTACCTTGTGGTAAGTAAATATTTAAAATACCCTTATTTTGCCATTATATTGAAGGTCAGCTGATCATTCTACATATTATGTTGACCACCTCGTCCCTTAGCGATGCTTGTTAGTTGGTTATATCAATGGTCCTGACCGACTCGAAAAAGTTATTCAATTTATTTTAGATTTTTAATTCACGGCTATCAAATCTCGCTACGATCTTTTTTTTTTAAATTATCTGTTCCAAATATTTTGTAGAATCGACTAAATTAAAAACATGTGAAATACGCACTAGATGAAATATTCTTAGTTTTTATTTTTCTATAAAAAAATATATACTATATATCTAAGAAAAACCTGATGAACAGACCTTGAATATAATAATTCAGGAAATACATTATACATACATACTTATCTTAACTTTATTCATGGTAAAAACAAGATGTTGAACGTTTTTTTTAATTCCTTTTAAGACTAACATTTTAACTTATATTTAGAAAGGAATTAACTTATATATAATAGGATTACACCATTATTAAAAAGTGGCAACACAAGATATAAAAAACAATTTTTAAAGCCCAAGTTAAGTTTTGTACCGTGGGCGGTGTATCTATAAAATCACGTCTTGGTTTGAATAAATTATCACCACAAAAGACATAATGGAAAAAGTTGCCTCCACTCGTATCTGGGAAGCTTTTAATTATAACTACTTGCTTTAATAAAAATATTCTCAAAGGCATCAAAACGAGTGTTTCGATTCAGTCGCGCGATACTTTTGGAGTATTGTTCAATGTTTTTGAAGTAAATTGAAAACGTTACTTTTGAAATGACGGTCGTGTTGGTTGGTCTATTGTATCGTGTATTAGATTACAACATGTTCAACATGTTTCTTATAATCAATTTATATATTTTTGTTAGGCAAGTTAGACTTCTGGAAAACCTGGATCATCTGGATATTAAATGGTCGAGGACCGTTTATGAACGAAATTGTCATTTTAGTTTTTGGTCACTTTCCATCGAATGAACCCCCATGCTTATATGTTCCTACTGGTCACACAAAAAATACAGTGCCACGCTTGATTCAAACTATTTTCCCGGGTTTTGATGATCCCCCAAATCTCTTGTATTTAACGCAATGTATCCGAATGTTAAGCCACGAAGACAGTGATTATTTATATCACTATTTAACGACATTTTATATAGTACACAGCAGAACTGTAGTAAGTTCAGTAAGAACATTATAAGAAGAAATAACGCGATAAACCTCTGGTATACTAGGAATTGTTAGTACACGTACTTCTTATTCCGTGAAGTATTTAATAGGCAAACATTCATAACAATGGTGTTACAATATCCATCCCTTTTGTAAACGGTTTAAGTCTGTCTATTACCGAATGTCGAAAAAATGGCAGACAGCAATCATCAGCAGATATGAATGGCTAGAATTCTGTCATCATTCAACCCCGAGCATGTCATTTATACTATATTATACATCTTAAGACTTTGTTTGTTTGAACGTGATAATCCCAGGAACTACTGCATCGAAGCAGCAAGCAATTTATAGACTATATTCAAGACCGCTTACCTTATAAACATCACACTGCAATTAATATAGAAGCGCACAAAGAGCGGAGTGGGAGTAGAGCAAAGAAATTGATTCATCTTTTAGGGCATTCGTTCTGTGCGCAAACGGTTCAAGTAACCGAAAAATATGTTTAAAAGAATAATTCCTCTTTTAATGATATAAAAAACTGACCGCCACATCTTTTAAAAGTAATTGCAAGAACGACGGGACGCGGACGACGTCGTCACGGCAGCTATAATTTGAAAGTTTTGAAAATTAAATTTTGATGCCCATAACAACTTTTACACGGACAAAGTCGCGGTCACGGCTAGTCTGTTATAAAATACAGTCTGTTTGATAGACTGACATTCTTAACAATGGCTGCACGGCATTATGCAAAGCACGGAGGTTTAACTCTTTTCCTTTGTACTGCATTCCTGTTTTCAAAGAGGATCTCGTTCCTATACACAGTGTTGACAAGTGTTCCGACACGTGACCACCCGCGGTGTCGACCTATAAATTAAGGACCCAAAAATCTAGGACACATTTAAGATAGAGGAGAGACCAGTGTTGACTTGAAGGTGGTGTAACTTTACCATCTCAAAAAGATGCAGTATCGACCCTATTTTTCCTTTGGATATGCGGAATGAACAGACTGAAATCCAATTACGCCATATATGCCGCTCTAACAAGGAAGAAGATTTAAATAAAATATTTTAACGGGGAGACCCGTGACCACGGCTCCTGCAAAGTCTCCGCAACGTCGGGCTGTAGTTAAAATCATTTTCAAATCAGTTTAACTAATATATAACGCGTTTTATACCGTCAAAGTGTTTTATTTAAATGTGTACTACTCGCGTAAACTACAGACAGTATTTAAAGTAGATGTGCACATCAAGCGCGTAAGATTAACAAAAACATGACAATAAAAGGAGTGACGGCGAGTTTCTTGCCAGTTCTTCTCGTTCGTTCTACCCTCTTAATTTGGAAACTAGTAGTAAATGTAATTTTACAGTTTTTGTTTTTGTAACTGTTTTGACGTTTATAAGTATACTTAGCTACCTATATAATGGATTTTAGATTTTGATAACAAATACTAAATGTGCGTGAGTCCGTTGATGCGATGTGATGAATACGTAGTGTTTGTCTGTCTGTCCTATCGGTGGCTACTTATGAATGGAAATGTGCCGGCTCTCACTGCCGCCCACAAAAGACTTCGGCTTTCAAGCCTTTTCGATCTCGAATGCCACTATTTTAAGAACAGTTGCGTAACGCCACTGAATGGCTCTAATGAGTTTTCGATCGCTTATTTTGTCAGTATGCATGTAGGTGTCTCCGGAACTAATGATCTAGTTCCAAGTTTTCGAAGCATTTTTATCGCCTCTTGGAAAGAACCATTAGTTGTAAACTACTGCTACCATTATTATTTATTTTATAATATTTTAAACATAAACTCAGTCAGCGACTTCGTCCGCGTATAATAGTTATTGTGGCCATCAAAATTTATTTTGCAAACCCCCTATTCAACTCTATACATTTAAGCTGTTACTCGCGACGTAGGCCGCGTCTCGTCGTTCTTGCAAGTTAATCTTACACGATAGGCATATACTGTCGCGGACATTTTTTTGCATCATAAATGGGAATTTTCGCAGCGTACATAACAAAAACCCACGTGGATGAATAAGTTTCCCCCTTTATTTTACATTTCCTGCTTTTTCTTCGCTCGTACTAGTCACAGCGCCTTCCTATACAAAAAGGTTTTTTCAAATCCAATAAATAGTTCCTAAACGTTTAAATAAACAAACAAACTCTTTTGCTTTATATATTAGTATAGATTATCTAATAGTTAATATACACATATATATAATATGTTTAAAGTATCGATCTTATAATTTATAAAATTTTGTGAAAACTGGCTTGTGTGTGCGTATGTCAAACCGTACACGATGTCGCTCTTTAAGTGTAATAAGTAATTATACAAGATACGACACAAACAAAAACTAAAAAATTGAAACCATATAGACGGATTGAAATGTGAAATATCTTTGTTTATTATAATAACGACAAGACGTGAGTCTCGGGGGTTGTTAAAAAGTAACTTAAACTTCACCCGAAGTTAAAGATATAATTTTCGGTAGAGCTCGTTTCGATCCCCACCGGGTCCAACATGCTTCTAAAATTCAGAACCACGAACCACCGCGCATAGATGAAAGAGCCGTGAAGTTTAATCACTTTTCGGTTTCAGTCTGTAGATTTCCGAAAATCCAGAGCTAAAAAAGGTCGACGGCGCATCTTGTGTAGAAGTTGCATGGCGGGGAAAAAAGCGTTTACACGTGTGAAGATATAAAACTCACCTTTGTTATCAAATAAATGAGTTACAATAGTACTTATAACCGATATGCGATGAAGCTCTAGAAAATAACATATAATTTATCAGTTCGTCGAATACGGCCTCATTAGCAATTCACGATCCATCTGTCTGCAGTGATTTTATGCGTTTTAGTCTTCACTACGAGAATTGATTTACAATAGGCCGTGTCATACAATATATGTGTCGGTGGCTTATATATATCTAGTACTAATCTGGCTTGGACTGACTACTGTATCACAATGGAAATTCATGCAAGTCAGTATTGACGTTATTAAAACCAAAAATGTAGTTTGATACACAATTATTATTTTAATAGGGATAACTGTTTTTATTTTATTTAGAAAATGTAATGAAAAATCAACTAATGTTGGTTTGACTTGTTGATCGAATGATAGCAAGGTTGCTAAGATCCAATCACCATCGGGTTTCTAATTATTTAAGCACTGTTAACGGTTTAAAACGCGGAATAGTACTTCACTTATCTTTTATTTATTGACGATTCGGCTGCTTTACAGCAGCCGTAGACACGGGGACTAGAGAGAGCTTCGCGTTTTATACCGTTAAAAGTTTTGTTCATAATAGTTTGTAACACTCGCTTAAACTACACACAATACTTAATATTTCTAATCAATTTTTTAATTATCTCTCTAGATCATGTTCGATTTCTTCTGAAAAATTTAGATATTTAGGTGGAAATAACGGAATTCCGCCCGGGTCACGAACAACCGTTCAGTTTTCAATTTCAGTATGAGAGCATAATTGTTAAGTTGTTACGTGGTTAACTTACATACCTCATTCATGTTTGTCCTCAGTAATACAAAATGTAACTGTTTTAAAAACAATGAAATACTAATACTAATAATCTTTTAGCTAATTAGTCGTTATTTTTTAACGCCATTAAATTATCGTACCGTCAGATTGGTTCGTACAAGGTTTGTCTTAGCGAAAACTTTCAATAGCTGAGCGGTAACTATACAGACACCGCAAACCTTGAATGGAACATTTAGCACAGTCTAAATGTCCAAATTAGCACTGAACGCACGTTAACAACTCCTAATGAGGACATCTCTTAAAATATAATTAACTAGTTCTATAGCTATTTTTTACATCAATTGTGATAGATATAACTCGACTAGCTGTTCCAGCGACTTCGTCCGCGAGAATCGTTATTTTGGTTTGCAAACCCCGTCATCATTATAAACTTTAGCTTGTTAGCCACGACGTCGACCGCGTCCCTTCCTATCGTTCTTGCAAGTTAATCTCAAAAGATAGACATATAGCGTAGCGCTCTTTTTTTAGATCATTTTTACATACAGCTTTTCAGCTATCTTGAACCGTTTTCGCAGCGTACGCATCTGAAACCCACAGAGATGACATATATCCCCCGTTTTGTTCACATTTCTCGCTGTATCTTCGCTTCTTTTAGCCACAGCGCGATGTTTTAGCCTACAGCCTTCCTCGATAAATGCTCTAACCAACACAAAATAAATTTTTCAATTCGAAGTATTAAACCGTTAAAGTGTTCTGTTTGAATGCCACATATGTTACTTTATTTTAAAATTAAATCTTAAATCTAAATTATCTGTTTTGTAATTTTCTAAGAAATTAATTATACATTTAATTATATTGACATTTTTAAAAATACTATAAGAGTGGGACTTCATGCGTTCCTTGCTCTGACCATTTTTACTATCGTGTTTCAATTGGTTAATGCATCTGTAATAAGCTGTATATAATATGCTTTTTAAATGTCAATAGATTTTTAATTTACAAACGCCACGTACTACGTTTTCAAAGGTTTTATTAATGGACACACAATCAAGAATACAGTTAGTTTCAATGTAATATTTGCCATTCAATATAACACGCTATAGAACAAGACAATTGCACATAATGTAACAATATGCAACAACTACGCATTAATTGTTTAATTGTTAAAACATGATCTCAGATCTTCTTGTGTCTATGAAGTTTGATTTTAAAGAACCTTTTATATAACTAGCTAACGCTCGCGGAGTCGGCCGCGTAAAAATTTATTCCAATTAGTCATTCGTGAGTTCTAAGTTGAATATATAACAAGACTGTCTTATATATAAAGATACATCTTTGCAGGAAAAAGGCAATTGCGTTGCTCTGTAAATAACGTTTTATATCATAATTACCATACACATTTTTTTTACGTACAAAGACAGTTGTTTTTGCGAAAAAAAACGTAAAACGTAAATAATTACTGTACACAAAGGAACTACAATTAAAAGAACTTATTTATCTAATCATCAATTTATTTATATAATTTTTAAATGTTATAATCATGGAATTCATAATGAATTGCATTTTATTAACTTTTCAGCTGGTAACCTCAAATTGTAATATAAAGAAACATAATTGTAAACATTGTCTTCAAACAATAATTGGCGTGAACCCGTGTAAAGTTAAAAATGGGGTCCAACAGTTAAATCGATAAAAACATCGCGTTACCATATAACACGCGTAACGTGCCAATTCGGAACAGGTTTAACATCCTTCCAATTGACGTAAATGAACACGACTCGTAGAGCGCGCGGCGTCATTGTTAAGGCTTTGTGTACACATCTAGACTCTGTGGTTAAACAGCTGATGCGTGTCCTGTCTTGCGATTGTACTCGTACCAGACCGTAACTATGTACGAATGTGTTACCTTGCCTTATAGTGAAGACATTCATGCTTTGCATTATATGAATATACAAAATACGAACAATTTTAGATCTATGTATACTTCTCTATAATATAGTTACAAACTAAATCTTTTTGTTATAGAGGGGGACAGGTAAGCATGAGGTTCATTAATGGAAGGTATACCCCCATAGATAGAAATACCCCAGCCATATAACTTCTGTAGTAGATGAGTGGTCAACCTATTTTGGCTTTGGATATTCGGAAATCAACAGACTGTAACCAAAACGCGATTATAAGTAAAAAACCGTGAAGGCTTTTTTGTTTGTAGATGGTGTTTTTCACATTTAATATCAAAATTTCCAGACGAGTTTCAGAAGAATTGTAAATTGATAGGTCATTTGTTGTACCTGGTGGGAATCGAATACCTGATCCGTTGATTTTTAGACATACATTGCTGCCATTAAAATGACAAGCATGTCAAAAGTCTATAAGAATCGGTATGTATACCTAAGTTTTGACCACACAATGCATTGCTCACCCCATAGAATGGGAAAACCTATCGCTAGTAAGCGTTGTTAGCCGGATCTTTGCATGCATTTGCATTTGCATATATACTTATAAATAAAAAAAACAACGACATAATAAAGTTTAAATTTGAGATTGTGGTCACAAATCAAATGAATTACCTCTATTACGTTAGCTATATGCGTTTGAAACCATTAAAACACTTAACCGTTTAAAACGAGAATATGTATTTGTTAACTTTAAAATTTATTTTAAATACGGCCCGACATTTCGTATGCAGCAGCGTCTCCCCGTAACATGTCCCTCTTCGGAACGTCGGGCCGCATTTAAATTGTACAATTTTCGCGTTTGATACCGTAAAACGTGTTCTATTTCAATTTGTACTACTCGCGTAAACTACGAACAGTACTTAACTAATTAGCATGACAGATAAACTTAATTACTGATGTTTATTTATATTAACATTAAATATTTGTTTTTAATATGGTTAATATGGCTATTGGCTATGTATAGATTTCCTGACAAGGTCTGTTAGTAGACATAACCTTTAAGGATCAGCGATTACTAAGATTATGAAGTCTGTGGGTCATTCGATTTCAAGATGGAGGACTATAAATTTTAAATCTATTTAGATTAAAAAAACAATGTCAAGCGGTATTCCAACCAAATACCCGCTACATTCTAAACTGTTGCTCTTATCAGATATGATTAGTAAGAAATAATGACGAAAAGCTATTCAAGTACCATTTCTTGAAATTCAAAATAGATAAAGTTCAACGGAACAGATGGCGCTAGCGTAGCAGTTTTCATTTTGACATTAGACCCCTCCATCTTTAGTCTACCCGTGACCATGGCTGCTCCAAAGCATCCGAAACGTCGGGCCGTAGTTAAAATGATTTGTAAATCAGTTTAATAAATACATTTCGCGTTTTAAACCATTAAAAGCGTCTCATTAAATGTACAAAAAAAATAGATGTAAATTTCAAACAATTTTTATTTTATTTATACTAACCTATGTAACTATTTGTAATCGAGTGTAATTTAGTGTAAAAATATAAAACGTACACAGAAATAATATGTCTACTTTAGCTTTAAGTGGAACTCTACCTGTCTTGCTTACAATTTTTTTTTTATGATAGATGAGATGGGGGGCACTCATGGGGATTTACTTTATGGTAGGTACTTAAGCCATATAACATCTAAACAAGATGTGCTGTCGATCTATATTGGTTTTATATTCAACTATATATACAACGTAAAGTCCGTTTAGCCTTACCCTTTTCTCACTTAGAACTCTGATTGCCCCATCACACGCCAACTAAAATGGCTTATTGAATCACTCCTTAATTCCCTCATCCATGAAGGGACATGGAATTGGGTCAAGACACGGCTCTTCCAACCGAGTTCCCATGGGATTTAAAACACTTTCGCTCCGGTTCCTATCATCATCTATAACATACTAATTAGGCTAGGTGTGAATATGAAATATTAATTAGGACGTTTAGCGCGAGAGGTCCTGAGTTCAAAACTCAGAAATAAAAAAAAATGCCGGGCACGGAAATTTGATCAAATACTTGCGCTTTAGATAAACTGCAACAAAAATAGACTTTTGTTCGTCCCATGCCCCACAGAGGGATCGGGGTCTCACTCACCGAAGCGTTATATATATTTCTCAAGAAAAATATTGTCTCGAATGAAAAGATTGTGTGTGTTAATTATTGTTTACCCATTTATTTATTTTTCGATAATTTTGTACATCAACTTTGGTGTAGAATAAATTGACATTGTTAAATTACAACGATAATGTAACTTCTTATTAATTACTTTTTTTGCTTTCATTTGGCTTGTATATTTGTATAAGCAAATACTTAATTTATTATCTTAAGCAATATTATGTTTAAACTTATTTGAAAATAATTTTAACTTCGGCCCGACGTTTCGGATGCTTTGCAGCCGTGTTCACGGGGAGACTAATATATGTCGCGTTTTAAACCGTAAAAAAAAATGTATTATTTAAATGTGTACTACTCGCGTAAACAACACACAGTGTTTAATGCTATAATACTATGTTAAAAAACATACTATAAACCTGTCTTAGTTTCACGTACTATACATATTTCCCTCGGCCATTGAAAACATTTGTCATTGTCTTAGTAAAACTTGGAAGACATAATAACTTAATTTTTTTCGTACAGGACAACCAAAGCAGCAATGGCACATTCATCAACAACAACCGGTGTGCCTTCGTCAAAGAGCCGCAAGAGGTCTTCTCTGGAGACGTCGTGCAGTTCGGCATACCGGTCGTGGAGAACACTGGCAACTCGGAGAAGGTGGGCTGGAGATCCTTCTTCTATTTTTCTATCTCTGCTATTACTACTATTACTTCTCTTTTATTGGTTGTTAAAGATACTACCGGGACTTGAACCCTGGATTTATGGCTTTCCCACCAAAAGTCATCTTTATAATCTTCTGTTTATTGATAAAACGGACTTGTTGGTGTAACTGGTTAATAATCAACGAGTTATAGGATTAATCCTCCCCGAGTCCAACATTTTTCTAATCATTCTGGATCTTAAACTGTCTGGAAATCTGGATATTAAATGGGTGGTAGGAATATCGGAATATCGGATGGAAAAGCCGTGATGAGCCGGGTTCATTCTGTGGATTTCCGAATATCCAAAGCCGAAATACAGAGCATAGTGTTTAAATGTTATGATTCTAGTGTGTTCACCTACCATTAAGTAAACCCGTGCTTGTCTGTCCTCCTTTATCATTAAAAATATGTTCTATCAAAACCGTATTTTAATTAAGTAAATAAATTAAAAACTCCTTTATTGTTCTAGTCCATGGTTAATATCTTTTTTCTTCTTTTGGCCCCGAGGTTTCAATACGACGTCGCAAGATTCATTATATATTCACATATATGATAAGAAGACACGAAGTCATAAGTTCCAATTTGCGCCATGTACCTAATATGACTATATATAATTTTCAGAACACCTTCCCACCGGTGGTAGCCATGTTAATGCTGTACCATCCAGACGGCACAGAGGCGAAGTTACATCTCAACGAATTGTATCAACTGAATAACTATGTACAAGTGAGTGGTTAAAAAACAATGGAGTTAAAGACACACTTTTGAAAACATATTTTGTCCTAGTTTTAATACTAAAATTAATTGAGGCTTTAGGCCAGAAAATATTTTTAGGGTTTTCGCGCTATTCAACATTGTTAACTAAGAAACGGATAGTTGAAGATTTATCCGATTCATTAATATACAGTGTGCCGCGACTCGGTCCGCGGGGTAATGTTATTTTGGAAGTTATATTATTTCAATAGAAAAAAAAAATTACGACTCGATCAGGATGTCGACTGTTGCCTAGCCAAGTATATTGTCACGGCCATTTTTAGATCATTTTATGAAGATTTTTTGTTACATATATATTTTTAGAGCTGTTTTTGCAGCGCACGCCACATGAACACATCCACTACACATATCCTACTGCTTCTTCGTTCCTATAGCAGCGTGATGTTTTAGCATGAAGCTAATATTTTTTCAATTCTATCTTAAGCCTTGAGCTTTATAACATTAGTATAGATAAACCAATGTATCAAAAATTACAGGAAGCGATCCAACGCGAGGCATCCCTCGAGAGCCGCCTGCGCACGCTCCGCGAATGCGTGGAGAGTACGCGCTCAGAGGCGCAGTCCGCGTGGGAGCTGTTCGTTGGCGAGCAGCGGCTGCTGATGCGGGTCCACACCCTCGAATCGATGCTCGCCGCCGGCAAACACCCCGACACGCAACACGTCGCCCAACTCCTCACTGACAAGAAGAACTATCAGGTATTTATAGCTAGCTGTGTCAGCGACTTCCCGCGTAGAATAGTTATGCATCAAAACTTCTTTTTGCTAACCTCCTCCTCTTCTTCATAGATTTCAGCCGTTGCCTGCGACGTTATTTGATAATACGATTAATTAATTAATACCTGTCCTGCTATCCTGTCTTGCATTTTAATCCTAAAAGATAGACATATATTGCGGACATTTTTTTTAGATCATTTAAAGAGGAATCATTCTTTTGATACATATTTTTTTGGTATCTTGAGCCGTTTTTACAGCGCACACATCAGAAACCCTCAAAGATAGAATAAAATATTTTTTCTTTGTTTTTTTTTAATTCTTCGTCAGATTTTGACAGACTCAATTATATATACAGTGTATGAGATTTATTCTCTTGTATTATCTTCACAACATATTGTTTTGTACAGACAGATTTATCTTTTATAAAATGTCAGAATAATTCACCATATCAGAAAATTAAAATAAGGCTACTTAAATACATCTGATTTTTTAAAGCAAATTAAATATTTACATATGTTTTTTCTAAATCTTATAATTGTACATTCGCAGGAGGTTGCCCTAGAAAGCTTACGAACCGCCCACGAACAGAGACTAGCGCTGGAAGAGAGTCTCGAACGGCGAAGCAGAGAAGCAGCAGCATTACAGAAGCATAACTGCGCGCTGCGCTTGGCTGCTAACAATGCGCTAGCTGAACTACAGGTAAGGGAACCTTGGACCACTAAATAGTTTCCTACATCTATTATCTTCTTCTGCTGTGCTATTTAACAGCATATAAACATGATTTCGGATGCTTTGAAACAGCCGTGGTCAAGGGGGAACTGAAGATGGAGGGTGTCAAAGACAAGTTTTGCTTGTGTTGCCGACTTGAATTTGATATTAGGGAAAATCTCCATCTTCCATTTCCCCCGTGACCACGTTTTAAACCTTAAATACTACATATACATTAAAAATATTTATTATTACCGGAATTTTTTTTTTGTTACATGTATGTTTTTTTTTTTTTTTCAAAAAATCCTATGAAATTATTGTTTTTCTTTACTTGACTTTTTCATTCAACTGCCGTATTGTCGTACCACTATCGTTATGTTTTATAATATTTTATTACCGTGTTACAGAAATTAGCAGCGCGATGCGAACGCAAGATGTGTGCGGCCCGACTCGCTATCTCTACGGCAGAGGAACGGGAGAACACGCTAAGGAAACGACTGCCGCTCACCGTTAGTATGAGACAATAGTTGCTATGTCCATATTATTGTTCTTATAGAAGAATCAAGCTTCAAACTTCAAAAAATCCTCTTTCCCCTTTGTGGGGCATGGGCCAGACAAAAGTTGACTTCTATCTGCCCGACCTTAACTATTATTATTACTATTTTAATCCAAGACCTCTAGTACTTAACCACAAAACTTATTTAGCCACGAAGGCGGCTTTGAGATAATTTTGGAAAAAAATAAGCTTTATTATGGCGATATAGAGTATTTTCAGTTTACTTAAAGGTTTAGTGAATATAATCTGTGTTATTATTTAAGATAATTCAGATAAATAATACCGGTTAAAAATTTAATATTTTTCGCGTAGATTAAAAAAAAATTACGACACGGTAGTTCAATTGGTTAGAGCAAACGGCACGGAACGCTGTTGGATGCCGGTTCCCGACCGTTTCAATAAACCACTTTAACGTTAAAACGCGATATATTAGACAAACTTATTTGAAAATGATTTTTAACTTCGACCCGACGTTTCGGATGCTTTGCAGCAGCCGTGGTCACGGGGAGACTCTGCTGCCACGGCTAATATATATAAGTGTAACTAATATATCGCGTTTTAAACCGTTTAAGTGTTTTATTTAAATGTGCACTACTCGCGTAAACTATAGACAGTATTTAAAAGTTTTTAAGCGCGCGCCGATAGTTCGAAGACCAAAAAGCGTTTCGTTTTATAACCCGTGTGTTTTCACATTTCAGTATTCAGTACAAAACGGCGAAGCGAAGATGTTGGTTCTGAGTACGGACAGCAACAAGATTCAAGAAGCGAAACGCAATAACTCGTTGGAGGAGGCCGTGCGTTCATTGCCAGATTATATTAAATTGTTGTTACCTCATGCGCTTCTCAACAAGGTACGTAGTTATAGAATGTAATGCTTCACACTTAACACTCTAAGTAAGTTATTTTTAATGTAATTGTCTTACTGCTCGTCTTTGAGGAATGGGTTTAAATCAAAGACCCCACCAGGTTGGATTAGCGCACTTGTTACCAAGGCACTCTAGTGTTACTTCAAAACTGGGGCTGAAGTTAAATAAAAAATATATCCAGATACCATACCAACTTTTAGCGCGTCTCGAAAAAACAACTGTCGCCTTCTATCAGCTTATTGTTTTTATTGTAGATATTAGTTCAACGAAAAAAAACAAAAATGTCCTATTATATGTTATTTTTAATTAAATTTAAAAAACCATATAATAAAATAACCTAACCATTTACCGACTATACGATAACCTACGCTCTCCTTCGTCTCGCCGTGAGGCGTCTTGTAGCAATTATTTTATAGAGCTCTTGATTTAAACACTTTTTTTTTTATCAATGTATAAACTACAGTACACACAATGCAACTATAATTCGATTAAAATACGAATAATGGTGTTTCAGGTCGGAATAAATGCTGTATCAGCTGATGGGAAGTCAGCTAAAGACATCGACTTAATACTAAAGAAGAATCTGATCAATAACTCTGACAATAACGGTATGTGCTTTATATAGTTATATAAAACAGACACAGTTGTACAAAGATGGTTACACTTAATGCTCTTTATTTATTTAATATTGCTTTATTTATAAAACACACCGCATAAAATACATATTAATGAGGAAATATCTTACGTACTAACTTATAAATAAAGGCGGCCTTATCGCTAAGTAGCGATCTCTTCTTTATCTATATTTTTGGAAACGCCATTGGAATGGAAATAGTTTGAATGCCGATCATTTTACGAAAAAATAAATTTATTGAAGTATGTATTATTATTTTATGGAACTAGTATGACATATGTTTTCATTTACTTGTTAATTAAAAAGTGTGATACAAAAAAAGGAAGTTATGCCAGGTACGCCTACATGTACCTACTATGTTCATACTAATAATTATTTTTCAGCAGAAAAGCAACAAGAAGAGGAGAGTGTGGGCTCGAGCGGGGAAAAGACAACGGAGACTAACTCTTGCGGCGATGAAGAGACTACGAAGCTTAACAATGGTACCTTTTTAATTCATATCTTTTTAACGGTTTTATTTAGCTCGACCCGTACGGAATTTATTTATTTGGGTCAAAATTAGAATTTGAAATTTTAGCACCTTTCCGTTGTAGGATTCATCTGAAATTTGGTACACCCATTAAATTTAGATGATAATAAATTCAATAACATTATAAATCCAAGATGGCCGCCGATACAAAATGGCGGATTACATATTTTTCCTTAACCCTCTCAATATGGGTATCAAATAAAAGGGCTACAATAGTAAAAGACGATGATTATGTCAAAATTTAAATATTTTTAGTGCACAAAAAATAAAACCGTTTAACTTAAAAGTTTTTATACCGGTTTTTATTAAAGTAATGGTGAATTGAAGCAATATTTTAGGCTTTTTGGTTATGTTTCAACCATTGCAGAGCGTATACAGAGGGTCTTAAGAGCTTGGCCCCAAGTTGGCAGGCTTTAATTGCTTCCGCCACTAAATTAGTAGTAATAACCGGAACCGACGGCTTAACGCGCTTTACGAGGCACTGGTGTGGTTAAACCTAATACCGAAATATTATTAGATTTTTTTAATGTTAGAGGGGGACAGACTAGCACGGGATTCACTTGTTGAAACACCCCAGCAATATGACACCTACACCAGACGCGCCGTCGACCTATCTTGGCTTTGGATATTCGGAAATTCACAGACTGAAACCGAAACGCGATTAAAATTGACGGCTTTTTCGTCTGTGGGCGGTAGTTCGTGACCCGGACAAATATCGATATTCCTACCACTTGTTTAATATCCAGATTTCCAGACAAAGTGTAACATGTTTCAGAAAAATTATAGATTGAATACTTTCAAATACTTTAAAGTTACGAGTTAGTTGTATAATGATATGGCTAATCTCAATGACAAACTTTACAACAATTTTATGCAATTAATATTGCTTTTTATAAAGACCGCACATATTCTAATATTCTATGAAGGAAAGCTAAATGTTTTTAAAGTTAAGACTTAACGCGGTGATGTTTACTTGAATAGTAAACGGCCAACAGTGATCACTTAGATGATACTGTCTGTAGCTTACGCTAATAATACACATTTAAATAAAACAGTTTAACGGTTTAAAACTTACGCGGTTAAACTTGTTTGAAAATTATCCCCCGTGACCACGGCTGCTGCAAAGCGTTCGAAAGGTCGGGGCGTGTAAAAATTATTTTCAAACAAGTTTAAGTAAAACATATCGCGTTGTAAACCGGTAAAGTGTTTTATTTAAACGATATTGAGATGTTCAGGATTGCATTTTGGTAATTTGACGGATGACGCTATTATTTAGATGAACTTCAGTTAAAGGGCTTAAAAAACCATGCTACAATTATAAAACGCGCTCTTTCATATGGAAACTAGTTTTTACATAATTACATTTCATAATTCTTCGAGCAATCGAGGAGTTCACATCTCCTGATGATGCCGTCCGCACGTGATGGCGAAACGTGAACGAGAAACTCTTTACGCTCACGTCGGCCGAACAGCCCATGAAAGTCAATGAAACGCTGAACGATGAAAGCCTTACACAATTTCCCAAACTACCACCCCCCGGCTTCGCATCCAAAACCGCACAATGTGCGCAGTTTAAAGATTTAAGCGTACATAGGGACAGAAAATTTTACTTTGTTTTATAATTTGTAACGGTGATATTACATGGAAATCGTCTTCTTACTTGCCTATATTATACTATGTAGATATAGACAATGAGAAGACATGTATTACAGACGGGGACAACGGAGAGACCGCGCCGGACGTCGACCTGTCTCCAGACAACAACGCCAACTCCACCTTCACGGATGACAATCGAGAGGAGTCACCGGTAAGAGATTGATTTATCCATCATCATCATCATCATCATAATTATTATTTTAATAGTGCATTGCTTGGTCGCGGGTCTTCTATATACGGGAACTATGGAATGGGAAACGGCCCCCGTGGGTCATGGGGACACAACATATTATCATTACATTTTACAAGCAAGTTGATCCGACCGGTGTCTGATACAAGTGTGCTATAGAGGCCTTTCAAGTCCCCGTTCATACAATTTTGAATTATTTATATATATATCATAAATTTATTTAATTTTATTAACAGAAACCATTTCAAGAGCACTTTATTCTTTCTCTCTTTTTTGTTTATTAAATGATTAATTAAGCACATTTTATTTAGTTTTAAAGCTAATTCAAATGTAGTTGGTTTTGTTATGTTTTTTAGCGTCTTATGAAATAAATCGTTTGACTTTGAATTAATTTATATAATGCCATTATGCGCAATGTCAAATATAATAAACTTTTTCACATCGATATTATCAAGTTACGCTTATAGATCGAACATTCATTATGTTTTTAAGGCGAAAGCCGGCGTGGAGTACGCGAACATTCTCCGCGTAATGGCCGGTCTAAACGAAGAGATCAAAGCGCTGAGGGAACGCCTGGCCGCCAGCACATCCGAGAACGAGCAGCTGCGCAACATTCGCGACGAGCTGCTAGCCACCAAAGAGACGGTAGATCAGCCGGAGACCCACGACGCGGCGGCCTATAGGGCGACTATCGCCGATCTGCAGGTATATTATTTTCTTGTTTGTATTTAAATCCTTACAGTTGATATTCATTCATTTTCGAATAAAACACATTGACGACCCGACGTTTCGGATGCTATGCAGCAGCCGTCCGATACGTCGGGCCATAGTTAAAATTATATCCAAATAAGTGATCGCGGTACATCGGGTTTTAAACTGCTGTGTTTTAACTGAATAGTACTACTCGTGTGAAGCACATTTGTTTTTTAATTAGACAAAAAATAACGCCATATAATAGCACTTGTATCATTTAAATAAACACTTTAAACAATTTAAAACTCGAAATATATTATTTATTTTGACTACGACCCGACATTTCAGATACTGTAACCATGTTTAAACAGTTAAAAGTGTTTTATTAAAATGTGTACTACTTGCATAAACTTTCGCGTCTTTTTTTCATCTTTATAACATGTATGAAGTTATAACATCTACGTCTATGAAATCCCGAGTCATCTACTTGATACGACAGACACATTTCTATGTCTGACTTAAATCGGACTATTTACAAATAATGGTAAACCAGACTGTGCACAGTAAACCAAAAATAAACGCTTAAAGTTTCGTTACTAGAAGTTACTTGGAAGTAATTCATTAAAAAGGCGATGTAAACATTATGTAATTCACATTTAAATAAAACCCTTAACGATTTTAACGCGAAATGTTTTACTTAACCTATTTACAATTTATTTAAAATAAATTGTAAATAGGCCCGATATTTCGGATGCTTATCAGCAGGGAGTCAATAAGTTAATATATTTCGCTGTTTTAAACCGTTAAAGTGTTCTATCTAATTGATGTTAATATTACCATCATTTTTGTGATCCTGTTTTGCCAAAGTGGTGGCCGGTAATAGGAACATTTCTGCATGCGTTCTAATCAGTAGATCTTCTACGATCCTCTACGAAAATCATTTAATCAATAATATTATAAATATTCGCAAAAAAATCTATTCGAAAAACATGCTAGTGATTTCATAGTTAATTTCTTGGAATTTTTATAACAAAAACGCGGGAGGTTATAACTAACTGTCTAAATAATATTGTTTAAAGTAAAAAAAGTCGACATACCTACAAGTTATTACGCTAGTTTCTAAAAAGGAACAAAGACAAAACTCGGCCTTAAAAAAGTCAATGTTCGTCCAGGAAACGAACCTGAATAAAACCTCTATTCATACATACGATACAGTTTAAATAAAAAACTTTAACGGTTTAAAACGCGATATATTAGTTAAACTTATTTGGAAATGAATTTTAATGTTAAAAATAATTTCCAAATGTTTTAAACCGTTAAACTGTTTTATTTAAATGTGTACTACTCGCGTAACCTATAGACAGTACACGATACAGTTATTAATTATTTAAATATCTATATTTATATCGCTGTATAAAACTGACATTACTTTTAAACAGGTAATTTGCAAGAACTAATAACTTGTGTCCATACGAGCAGGTGCAAACCGATGACTCAAGTAACGGCTATATCTGTCTCGCTCGTTTATGGGCGTGGTCTAATAGGGGCGTGGCCTCGACCCAAATACATAGACACGATCAAGGTCCCGCTTACTTTTATTTTGAGGTGAATCATGAAAATGATTGATGCAATTCCACGGAGCGATCTCGGCTTGTAATATTCTGATTGAATTCAAACGTTTTTGTATATCGATTGTGTATTCTACAGTACATTTGTATTTATACATTACTAGCTGCGCACGCGACTTCGTTCGCGTAGAGTAGTTTATTTGTATCAAAATTTGTTTTTGCTCACCTCCTCATCTATTTAAGTTATAGTTGTTACCCACTACGTCAACTCAACAACAGACTCTTCAGCTTTATAATTTTAGTATAGATTGTCTATTTAAATCAAAACCAATGCAAATGATATAATAACAGCGGTAACTGTTAGTTACTAGTTTACTAGAGACAGGGTTAAATTAAATCTATAAGTAGTAGGTTTTTATGTAGGTAAAAATAAAATAAAGTCAGGATTATAAACAAATATTTATTATATCCAATATAACAAGTAAATACATCGTTCTCTTTTGACATTAATGGTGATATCAAAAAAATTGTTTCGACTTACAAAAATCGATGACCCCCCCCCAAGTTAGGTAGTTAATAGACATGGGAGGTCTAACAGGCACAAGTTCCATACATGCAACGTGTTTCCAAAAATCTATTTACAATTATTCTGGAATATGGTATGTTCCCGGAAAATCTGTACCACCACCGTCCATGGATAAAGGCTGTAAAGTGTTCATCTACGTTTCGGATCTTGCACATGATGTTCAGATCTTGGCTAAGTTGACAGCATATCTCGTTGAGATCTTGGCTAAGATGGCGGGGTTCAACTTTAATCAAGTAACAAAAAAAAAATGTCTGCAAAATTCGTACAGGCGTCTTACAAGTGTACATGTTCGTAGAAATCGTACCCGAACTTCGGTGCTCTGAATAGAGGTCGTTCACACGTTTCTGTACTGTAATAAATGAAATCATCAGCTCTAAAGTGTAAAATACTTCTTGCACGCTACACAGACTTACAATACGTAACAACATATAAGATATATTTTTGAATACTTTGTCTAAAATTGCTATAACCACGAGAGGTCCTTTGAATCCTTAAATAAAAAAAATCGGTTTGTGTAGGGCGCAGAAGTCTATTTAACTATTTCAAAATTCATATGATCAGTTAATCAGACAGAAATGTGCTCGTCTTATGCCTCACTTGGGAAAACTGGATTTAATTTGTTTTGTATTAACTTTGCTAGAGTATACATATTTCTTTAAATTATGTTAGCTATTATGTTCTGTTATCTGTATTTCTTCTGTTGGGCAGAGCAGAAAAAGCTGATAACCTATTCGTATTTATATATATATATATATATATATATATATATATATATCTGTTGATTTTATGTCGTTTCACACTACGTTACAAGGTTTATCGTCTTTCGAATGGGCTATTTGACAAAAAAAGCGTTATAAGTATTAAATATGAGTTTAAATATATTAAAAATATTTATTGATTTAAATAAAGAACCGCAAATAAAAATTAACTTCTTTAAACATAGGCACGTGACACAAAACGCTCGTGATTGGTTGGGTTTATGATGACGTCACTTGCTTATAAACAGTGCCACGCCTCATGCCGTGCTTCTTAGTGTTAAAACTGTTCTATTCTCTGCATTAATAAAGAAATAAATTTGTAACTCATTTTATTATGTCAAGCACTGTTAAAAGTCGTGACGTCACTAGCCTCTTTGCAGTGTTATATACTACTCTACTGGGATTCATTAACATCTATCAAATTATATAAAAGACATGTTAAAAATCAGTCAAATAGACCATTTAAGAAATTACTTAACAATTTATTATTTTCGTAGGCTCAACTAACTCGCTCGAACGTGGCCGAAGAATCGAACCTCGCGGAGATAAAGCGGTTAGCAACAAACGCGGCAGAGATGCAAGCGGAGCTCGCGTTCCGTCCGACGCGCTCCGACATCGACGACCTGACAGCGGTCGTCGGCAACCTTCGCGCGGAGGCGCTAGAAAAGGACAGACTGATCAAACAGCTCGAAGCGTCCATAGACAAGCAGAGGGCCACGCTCGAGAAGGCCACAGAGACGTCGCGATCCCTAGAAGACCTTACGGACGAAACCATAGACACGAAGAGAATCTCCGCTGACATAGACGAGATGTTCCATCTCGATTACGATGACGACGACACGGACTCGACAGCGACGGAGATCAACAAGGATCTGGATGTTGACAGCAAGCGCAGTGACGTCACGCTCAGCGAGTACGTCCGTATTGATGACGAGCAGCGGCTGCAGGTCAGCATGCAGAACGGCACGCTGCACGCGCTTGAGGAGGAGCTCGTTCGCGCCAAAGAGAGGTAATTATTATATTTTTTATTCAGCAAAAGAAAACAAACAGGTACATTACGCAAGTAGTGTAGCTGGGGAAATAAATAAAAAAACACGTTTCATTGTAACTGTAACCAGTGCTGCTACAAAGCAAGCCGCTGGTCGGAATTTATATCCAAAGCCAAAATAGGTCGACAACACACCTTGCCTACATGTTTTATAGTAGTTATCAGTAGAAAACCATGCTTATCAGTAGAAAAAAAATATTTCACGTTTCAGACCGTTAAACATGTTTCATTTCTATTTGTTACTAGCGTAACGCTAAATCTTGAGGGTATCCTACAGTACCAGGTTATTTTTTCTTTATTTGATCTCTTAAAGGGTGACCCTTTTTTTATTCTGTGTTTTTGTATTTGTCATTTGTTGTGTTTAATACATTGTTCTTACATTTCCAGGTGGGCGGAAGTGTCCGCGGAGAGAGCGCGTCTCGCCGCGCAGCTGGCGACGCTGCAAGACAAGCCGCTCAGGATAGACGTCACCCACGTCGCAGCGCTCGCCGTCCCCATAATCGTCGCGTGCCTCTACTACGCCCTGCTCCCCTATATCTCTTGATTGACGGCCACCTGGGACCCCCCCGGGTACGCTTAGCATCGCCCACCGCGATGCGAACCTTTGCTCACTATCAGCGTGGCCAAGGCGCCGCGGTATCGATTGATTTTAACAGATTCATCTAGGTTTGTCTATAGTTAGAGCGATTCGCGGATTACTGTCTAAGCTACGAAATTTATTCTTGTTTTCAGCCGTTCGCTATTGTCAAACGAAAGTAGATAAATGTGAATAATGAGTACGTTATTTACTTTTTAATCTAGAAAAGAGAAATTAAAGTAGAAAATAGATTAAAGAGTAGAACTTTCTATAAAAATACCAATCTACTGATATTTACTTTGGTTTTAATTTAAAATTAAACACTTTAACGCTTTAAAACGTGAAATAAATAAATTGTCTCCCCGTGACCACGGCTGCTGCAAAGCATCAGAAACGACGGGCCATAGTTTAAATAATTTTCAAATAAGTTTAACTAATTTATTTCGCGTTTTAAACCGTTAAAGTGTTTTGTTTAAATATGTACTTGCGGAAACTACACGCAGTATTCATATTGTCTTGTAAATTCGTAGTGTGACAAAATTAAAAAAATATCTGCTATCGTTTGACAGACTATATAAGATAGTTTTCCGATCGCAGCGCCATCTCGTGTCGGCATTCGATCGAGTTCCGTAGTGCCATCGAGGGACAGTGGCGTGAAGCTTCACGCGTGTATAGAAATATTTCTGTAAAAAGTGTCAGTAACTTATAATAGAAATTAATATAAATTCGTTGTTGATATCTGCCATAATAAATAACTGTATATTGTAATGTTAAGGCCTAACGACTGTCTTATTCTATTGTCTAATTAATTCGTGCGGTTCATGTAAATTCTAAAGTTTATATTAAAAGATGGCGGACGTTGTTCTCAATCATTGTTTCTAACTAAGCCTTTAGCCTAAACCGCAGTTGAGAATATAAAAAATTCGTATATTATGTCATCACAACAGAATCGAGTCGCCTATTAGATTTTGTTTCTCATATAATTTGTATCATTGACGGGAGCTATTTCCACAGATTATAATAATGACCAAATATAATTTAATGTGGGTATTATATTCGTTTTAACTATATCAGCAACCTAAAAGTATTGATCGCTTTACACGTATTGAATAATTATATATTTAAATCAAAACTAAAGTTCTGTCTTTTCATACAGAATTAGAGATATAAAATCTGTTATTTCATGTAAACGCGTTTGATATTAGACTTAATATATATGGGAGGTTTGAAGAAATCTATTTTATGCGTGTACCAAATATTGAGCTTTTTCCAACCACCTTAAAGGCAAGAAAACTTACTGAACTTTTTTTTTTTAAATTACCAACCGATACATGTATTCTATGTAAACGCAGTGATGTCCAACGAGAAATCGATACCAGCCATTTACGATAAAATGGATTCCTTCTTCCCCAAACTAATATAACGCTTGCAATGTGATAACGATAGAAAAATATACGAAATTGAAATGTTCAAAGATGGCGACGCAATTCTCATCACAGTGCACATATCATGGTGTGGGTGGAGTGTGGTTATGGGCATTTAAATCTTCGGTGGCGAGTTTAATTCGAATCGTTTGCATTTTCTAGTCTTTATGAATTATATTGAATTTTTTATCAATTATTTTATCATACGTATTCGCATCGGATCTGAAACCGAAGAAATATTGATAAACCGAATAAATAATCGATAGGTGTAATGTCGCATCGATTATTTTGTAATGTCAAATTCGATTGTAGCATCATCAACATTAACAAGTTATGCGCAGTTTAGTTGTAATACTCACAGTTAGTTGATTTTTTTAGATTTGACGATTTTTGTATATGGAATAGTAATTCGCTTTAGGTTTGATATTGCATCGTTTTGAATATGTTTTGAATGATGTAATTGATGGTGTTACGTTTGACCGGCGCTTGCGACCTTCCGAACTAAGGGGCGGATACAGCTTAACAGTCTTGTAGAAGTTTTTTGTATCACAAACTCAATATTTTTCTATGAATTGATTTTTTTTATATATATTTGGAAATCTACAAACTTGAGGTCTATTTTAACTTATTATCTTAGTCAAACTAAATCTTGTACATGTGTCTCGACAATATTAAAGAAAATAATTATGAAAGTAGATTTACCAGTTAGATCCGCCCCGGTCCCGTTCTTCCGGCTAAGAGTTCGCCGCGCCGTGTTGCCAACGCCGATAGATAATTTTGTAACTCTTAGTACTAACAAATTATAATTGTAACGTTACATATATTCTACCACGTTGATAACCTTTACTTTTTATTGAATATTTATTTTAGTTGTTGCACCTATTGTTATGTTCGATGTTTTATGTTTTATTACGCGTTCAGACCACCTTAGTGTATATAAATTTATCTTGTATCCCTTAGTTTATTTAGTTCATTGTGTCGAAGACTTTTATGTTGTATTTTAAAAACATGATAATGCATTCAATGTGGATGTTCTGAGAAATAATATTGATTTGTTTAGAAAATCGTGTTATTTTCCCTCGTTAATTTATAATGCTATGCTAGGTATACTTCTTCATCATCATTTTCAGCCCGTTGGGTCCACTGCTGGACGTAGGCCTCTCCCAAAGCATGCCACTCGGCCCTCTCTTGAGCTCTATTTATCCATTTGCTGCCGGCTACTTTCTTTAGATCATCACTCCAACGTGCTGCTGGTCGTCCTACACTGCGTTTGCTTAATCGTGGTCTCCAATCTAGTATATGTCGGCTCCAACGACCATCATCTCTTCTGCTGACATGGCCAGCCCATTGCCATTTTAACCTGACAATTTTGCTAGCAATATCCGTCACTTTCGTTCTTTGGCGGATGACTCCGTTTTGAACTTTATCCGCAAGAGATATTCCTAACATGGCTCTCTCCATGGCACGTTGGGTTACTTTTAGCTTGTGGATCAACCCGTAAGTAAGATTCCAGGTCTCGGCTCCATATGTCATGACAGGTAGGATACACTGATTGAACGCTTTTGTTTTTAAACTCTGTGGGGTAGATGACCTGAGTATCCTCTCGAGTTTTCTGAATGCTGCCCATCCTAAGCTGATTCTTCTGTCTGCCTCAGCCTCGAAGTTTTGCTTGCCTAGTTGTATTTTTTGGCCAAGGTATATATAACTTTGTACTACTTCAAGAGTGGTTCCGTCTACTAACACAGCCTCTGGGATGACATGGCTGTTAAACATGATCTTGGTCTTATCCAGATTCATCTTGAGGCCAACGGACTGAGAAGAGCAATTGAGGTCATTTATCAAATTGTCAAGTTCTTTGGGAGTATGGGCTATTAAAACGATGGCGTCTGCAAATCTGAGATGCGAGATGTATCTGCCGTTTATGTTGATTCCACGTACATCCCAGTCGAGCGTCTTGAAAACGTCTTCAAGTGCATTAGTAAAGAGCTTTGGAGATATTATGTCCCCTTGTCTCACGCCTCGGCGCAGCTTTATTTGTTTAGTGCTCTGACCTTGGATTTGGACAGTCATCGATGCGGTATTGTATAATTCTCTCAGAATCTCGATGTATCGGGAGTCGACCTGAGCCCGTTTAAGAGAGTCCAGAACAGCCCAGGACTCGATGGTATCGAAAGCTTTTTCATAGTTCACATAAGCGAGGCATAGAGGCTGGTTATACTCTCCTGTCTTCTGGATAATTAGCCTTAGGGTAAGTATGTGGTCTACTGTGCTATATCCTTTTCGAAACCCAGCCTGTTCCGGTGGTTGGAATTCGTCTAACCTCCGAGCGAGTCGATTTGAGATAGTCTTGGAGAATAATCTGTATATATGGTTTAGGAAAGATATAGGGTGATAGTTTTTTAGTAGCATTTTGTCGCCTTTCTTGAAAAACAGGACGGTAACGCTCCTACTCCACGACTCTGGTATTTGGCCCGAGTGGAGGATTGAGTTAAACAGCCTTACGAGCTCTAGTTTAAGGGGGGTTCCGCCAGCTCTTATTAACTCCATTGTAACACCATCCTCACCCGGAGCCTTGTTGTTTTGTAGCTGGCCAAGGGCTATACTTACCTCGTTTGCATCGATATCGGGAAGCTCATCAGTATAGTGGCGCGTCAAGGTAGCCCTGGGGACTTCTGAGTTGGTGGTAATTTGTCTCACTTTCTGTGATTTGTGTAATTGTCCGTAATAGTTTTCGATTTCAGCGAGGATCTCTGGTTTTGAAGAGACTACAGTTCCTTGTTCTGTGCGGATTTGGGACAATATGCAGTTTGAGGCTAAGGCTTTTGAAAAGATCTTCCAGCCTTTGTTTTTGTCTATGGCTTCCTGTATCATCTTTGCATTGTGTTGGCGGATGTCATGCCGTACACGTTTTCTGACCTCCCTATTTAGATTTTTGCGATCCGGTTCGGTCAGGTCGGGGTCTTTGCTTCTCTTATTCATCAGATCGAGAGTCTCTTCAGTGAGTTTCGACTTTTGTCCTTTGGTCCTTGGTTGCAAGTATTTCAGACCAGCCTCGCGGACGATCTCCACCAAAGAGTTGTATGTACTGTCAATATTGGCGATAGTTCTTAGCGCTCCGAATTTGTTTTGCAGCTCTAATTGGAATTTATCGGACTCAATCTTTGTTTGAAGATAGTTTGGGCGTAACGTCGATTTCACTAACCGCTTCCGCTCTATTTTCACCTTGATACTCAGAGTGCCTCTGACCATACGGTGGTCGCTGCCGGTGTTAAAACTGTTTATAACAGTGACATCCCTGAATATGTAGCGTTTATCGGTAAGAATGAAGTCGATCTCGTTTCTTGTCTGGCCATCAGGGCTTCGCCATGTCCATTTCCTATGAGGTTTCTTCTTAAAGTATGAATTCATCATGTATAGCCCGTGTCTTTCGAGGAAATTTACAAGCATCTGGCCCCTAGTATTTCTGCTTCCATAGCCGAACGGGCCTATTCCCAATTCCTCTGACAAGTTTTGGCCTACTTTGGCATTGAAGTCGCCCATAATGACAGTATAGTGACATTTATGTTTCTGTATTGCTCTATCGATATCTTCATACATAGACTCTACCTTTTCGTCGGGGTGGCCAGAAGTTGGAGCGTATATCTGGATCACTTTTAAAGAGTACCTTTTATTTAGCTTTAATACAAGGTATGCTACTCTCGCAGACACACTTCCCATTTCTACTATGTTTTGAGCAATCGACTTATTGATGACAAATCCAACACCACCGACCGAAAGCTGATCTCCCCCTCTGTAGTAAAATTGATGACCTGATTTGAGGGTCACACTATCCTCTCCCTGTCGTCGGACTTCAGCTAACCCTACTATATGCCATTTTATATGACTTAGCTCTACTTCGAGTTCCATTATGTGTTCATCCAGTCGGAGAGTTCGTCCATTATATGTTGCCAGGATGAGTTGTTTAAGGTAGCCTTCCGTAGCCCGGGGATTCTTCGCACCCCCTGCCTCGCCGTGACCTTGGCCGCTACCGTAGCCAGGAATAGCGAGGCTACCGGGAACTGGGGGCCGTGTATTTGGTTTTGTGCTCATTTAATTGGGAGGTTATACCCGTAGTCACCGCGCTGGGCAAACGTGTTGGTGACCGCAGTTAAGACATCTGCTTCTATGCTAGCGCTGCTGCCCGGTACCATAGATCTGATTTGAATGTCTTGTATTTTAGAATGGTTATCCCGCCATTTGTCGGTCGCCAGAGCCAGAAAGTTTTTAAGGTGTGTCTCGATGGTTGGTCTTTCCCGTTTTTAGTGCAGTGGCTTTCCCTTTTTCCTGCACCGCAGTTTCGTTGATCGTTTAGTTAAGGCGCCCTGCTGCCGACGCCTCACAACCGGACAAAAGTTTTCGTGTCCGGCCTCCTAGCTCCCATCTGCTTGCCGACCTATATCTCCAAAGGGGTTGGTTACCGCAATCTTGATGATAGGTTACTCGGCTTAACAGGGTTCACCGCGAGTAGGCTGGGAGTGGAGTTGGTAGGGAGAGGCTAAGTGACTGTTCTTGTTACAAGTCATGTTACGCGCATCACCTACCCTTGAACCCCTTCACTTATACTATACTTAAATATAATTGCAGCTTTTTATACAAAGCAATATAAATGGATTTCCTACTTGATTAAATACTGTACTATTGATATTAATATTATAGAACATTTTCTTTATTAACGTTGACTACGCGCTGCGGGAGTCCAAACTACCGGGAGTAATATTTAGGACAATCTAAAAGCGACACAAAGTGAAATTTCGTATCCCCTCGTGGGACTAGGGCGAACACATCTCTGTCCGTTTCGCTGCTCGGTTTTATTAACAGGCAAGTAGTTGATCAGACTTCTGTGCGCGGCCGGAACAATTTACTGTTTCCCCGTGATTCGAACCCAGGACCACTCGCGCTTAACGCAATGCTAGGCACCCTTGACCATTTAACTACAGAGGCAGACACATAGAATGTTATATAATTTTTAAACTAAATAACCATATGAAATACATTCATTAACTAAAGCATATGTTTAATTTAAATCGAGAGTTTATTATACAAATTTCGCACAACAAGAGCACATCTTTCAATAAATAAGTAAATGTTATATATTATATTAACTTTTTAATCAAATAAGCGTTATGGTAATGACCAAAGGATTTTTAAATACTGTCTGTATTTTACGCGAGCAGTACACATTTAAATAAAATACTTTAACTGTTTAAAACGCGAAATATATTAGTTAACTTGTTTAAAAATCATTTAAAAAACGTTTCAGATGCTTTGCAGACTTGATGCTTTGAACCGTTAACGTGATTTTTTTCAATGGATTTTTGTTTCTTTAATGTCTGTTAATACGAAAACAGGTAAGTATTAAAACAATAAATTAATTTCTTTATTTATTAATCCTTTTTTAATATTATCAAATAATTCCAGGGTGAGAAAAGAGCGCGCCTTTTACGAACTGGAAACATTCTCATATTTGTACAATAGGATGGGAAAGTAAGCTAATTATAACTTCTGCGAAAGCGAAACGAGGCTGTTAGTTCTTATTATTTATGTTTTAAATAGAAAATAATAATATAACTACGAATACTATCGTTCTACAGTATTTCAAGATATACGCTAATATTACAGAAAATTATATACACGAGAGGTTATTTAAGATAGAAATATCTGTACATCTTAATAACTTTATAGTATAATAAAATCAAAAATGAAAATTGGGCCACCATATGTATATAACATAGTGGCCCAGGAGTCGAATCACCCGTAGCGGGGTCTTGTCTCGGTATAAATATTTTCACTGTTCAATATTCGATGTTATAAAGTAATGTTAGTTTAAATTACATATTTTTAAAATTATATGACTCACAACACGTAATTCGATATGAAGACTGTCGAAATCCAAACACAGCATTTAGTGAAGACAAACAAAACAATTGAATAGACAAAATTCGCGAAAACCCGACCATAAACAGAACTAGATTCTAATTGTATACACACAATGTATTACATATGCAAATTAAAAAACAAGAATGTGCATAGATAAGCGCAAATAGTGTTCGTCACGTGGCACTTTCGCCGGTCTTCCATTGGTGATCTTCTTGGTTTCTAGATCGTCGTCATTACGTATAAGCGATACAAACGGACGAAGATCCCACCGACCCGCAATGTCGGCCGAGCTGGGAATTTCGTCCGGGCGTAGCACTTGATACTTCTTCATAGTTCCTCGTCGGACAACCACAAAATGGTGGTCAATTTCGTCCGCTACCTTCCGTCGACCTTCACTTGGCGCGATAGTGGAGCGTGCGGCGCCGGCGTCCGCGGTGAACGAACTCACCTTGACAAATGCACCATTTGGCATTGTTCGCGGGAAAACCGGCGGCCTTGCGCACACCGCGCGCCGCCCGCCGGCCAATCACGCGCCTGCGCGCCGCAGCCTGCCACCGTTTTGGCGGGAACCGTTCGCGCTCTTCGTTTGGCGCGCGCGTCGCTACAGACAGAGACACAGATAAATATATTTCACTGTCTGTGACCTGGCACACGTTTTACCGTATGAAGTATTTCGACCGAATTTGTTTTGGTTCTTGCGAGTTAATCGTAATAGATGTACTTTTGCGGACATTAGTTAGATTATTAAAAAATATTTTTTTAGTATTTTTAAGGTTTAAAGTTATAATATTTCCCGTAATTTTCACATTTCAGAAACAGTGGATTCTGCGCGTCCATCGGTCGCAGGTCGATGTTACTTAGCCTAAAGCCTTTTTCCATTTATCTAACCAACACGGAAAGGGTTTTTTAATTTGAAGTATTCTTGAGGTTAACATCTCCTGCTTATAATATTATTTAGTTACATGCAATATATTATGAATGATTACGACAGATAAATGTGGCCACTAGTGGCTTGGTGAGTTGTTGTTTGGGGTTTGACGGCCAATAATATGTTTCTATCACCAACATCTAACGTAATTTTTTATGATCGCAAACAAGCGCTAGACCGATGAATTCAATGAAAACAATATATTTATATTAAAGCATTGTGTTACGGTACGATATTTTTAAATATATTGTAGCTACGTGTGTAAGAACTTACCGCGCCATGTTTTAGGATGACCTTCTCTCTCTAATACTTTTAGGAACTTCAATACGAGTTAAGTTGAAAAATAAAATTTAAAATTTTAGTTAAAACCGACTGATGGTGCTTGGTCTAGGCTTGAGAGAGGTATTTCATTCAATAATAAAATTTTACGACTCGGGCAGGGCTTGAACCGGCATCCACAGCCGCACTTTGCCGCGCGAGTTACACTTGGTAATCGATTTTTAATTTATATAGTGCCATCATGTGGAAAATATTAAAGTTGTCAAGGGCATGTTTTACTAAGGATCCAAACGCTTAGCAACGCGTCTTACTATTGAACTACTGTGCTCATGCGCATAGTAACCACTAATTACGACGTCATAATTACAAAAGTGATGTTGCCAGTTTAATTATTCAATTAATTACTGCGCCGCATTTCGCCACGAACAGATAGTGGTTATCTCGTCGCGCTTCAGCGACTCTCGCGCTGTTTAATGAGTCAAAATATTTAAATAACGTAAACGGACTTTTTAAAAATGGAATCTGTGAATTATTTAAGTATTAAATTTAATGAGCGGGTACTTTCGTAACTCGGTGTGTGCTTTTGTACTTTCTAATGATGATTTTGAGAGTACAGCTTACGGTTAAGTCGAAAGTTTGATTCCTTTTGAGCATATCATGGGATCTGCATATCTCACATGCTCGCTATATCCTAGGATAACATCCTGGTGACAGGACAATATTTTTAAGTTCCCATAACTGGGACACAGGATATGTGTATACCTTATACGTCGTAGAAAACACTGGTTTTCGTACGAAGTTTTCCTTTATGGGAAAGCAATATCAGAATGCACACAACAATATTTTGATGCACGATAGAGAATCTAACTTATAACATTTCATAAACGTTATAAGTTCAAGAACCAACGAAGCTTTTTGAAATAAGTAAATAATTTTTTTTTTATGGAAAAGAATGAATTGAAAAAGTACTAATGAAGTCTGTAATTTTTTTGTAACGATTTAAAACGGGAGATATATTAGTTAATTTATTTCAATGGCGCTAGCGTAGCAGATTTAACTTTGACATTAGGGACACCATCCATCTTAGTTCCCTTCGTTACCATGGCAACGGCAAAGCGTCTATTTCGGTAATTAAACGAAATTAAAAATTTCTTATTTAAATTAGTACTAGTGATTTATGCTTCTAGGAATATCTAGGAATTTAGTACTTAGCACAATGTAGGCGGCCCATGTCAACAGAATGATCCAAAAATAAATGTAGATCTGTCTACGCCCACTCACGTCGCCTACAAGATCTAACAGAATAATTAATGGTGCATTAATATGTTTCTAATTGAAGGATTAAGCTATTATAAATAATCCATTAAATGTGATATGCATTATACATAAAGTCTTCATTTCAAAAACTGTCTGTAGTTTACGCGAGTAGTACACAATTGAATAAAAAACTTTAACGGTTTAAGACGTGATTTATATTAGTTAAACTTATTGAAAATTATTTTTTAAAGCAGCCGTCGTCAAAGTGAGACTAAAACATCAGGTCGTAGTTAAATCAGTTTAACTAATATATATCGCTACTACTTCTTTTTTTTTAAAGGGGGGCGTATTCTGGCCACTCCGTTGAGTAAGCATATTCCCTTGTTTTGTATTAATGCACGTAGTCGCATTTTGACTATTTATACAACTTCACCATTTCTGTATATAAGCCTGTGCCTTATTATATTAAAGAATATTCAGACGACACAGACTACGCAAACTAAATCCACTCCTGAATCTCATTTTACTCCTTGCCAGTACCATTGGCAAAGTTGGAATTAAAAAAATATTTGTTTGTTGGTTGGACCATTTATTTATATATATCCTTCTTTAAAAATTCAAAAAAATATCCGCAACAGCATTGTCTATCATTAAAGATTGACTCACAAGAACCGTTTTTAGGTAATCAAATTTGTGTGAATCAATACAACAAACGTTCTCTTGCCAGGTCAACTAGTTTATAATAAATTAGATATTTGTTAAATAATTTTACATGTGCGTTTTGTAGCTTCGGCTACGGCGTAGCTGTTCCCGTACCGTACTCCAATCGGTACGGGAACAGCTAGGCATAAAAAGTATTTATAATATACAACACATATTTAATTAAATAAAGGTACGTAAAGGTGACGAACAAGAAAAAAATTGGAGTTGAAGGAAATCCTTGCGGCTGGTCAAATTTGAACAGCCGCATTACATTTTGGAATGCATCTTTTTTTACATCTATTATATTATAAGATATATGAGGCCGCTAGAGGCAGAGTAGCCTAACTGATTTTAAGTAATCTGAGTTGTTTATTTTTTTATAGTCTAAACGTGTTAATCTACAAGAGCACAGTGACCGAAAATAATTAAAATAAGATATAATACTACAAATTCATTTTCGCCGGAGTTATTTGCCTATTTTTATTTTCCTCATTGAAAATCATGTTGTTATTAGGCCACTCTGCCTCCAGCCCCATATATTGTTTGTCAAAATCTATGAATTCAATCAACTCGAAAAATTTCCAAAAACAAATGACGAATTGTTCACGTCAAAACAAACATCAATGTTGTACAGACATTTTTGACAATTACTGTTTTATGATTTACAAACATTACTTTATGATCTTGATTGCCCTTCGTAAAAAAGGAGAATACCGATAGTTTTATTATAAACAAATCCAAAATTATGGGTTGGATGTCTGCATTTTTTGTTGCAAATGCATTAATCAAAAGCGGTCGGCCTAACCTCGAATGACTAACCCAAATATAGCGAGTCTGACTCAATTCAATATCGAACCTAAAACATTATGGTCATCTAAATTAAGTCCAATCATAATAATTATGATGTAAATAAAACTAATTAAATTAATGTGGGTATTCTTTTCAACATTAAAACATTATTGATTTTTAAATCAACATGTTAGTTATACTTTTTTCGAATTCTAAAGTACAAATACATATATAATAATCTCTATAATTTGTATGAACGCGCCCAATCTCAGAAATTACTGGTTAAAATTGGAAAATAATATTAATTATTTTTACGACGTCGTGGGAACAGCTAAATTTGTGAAGATGAAGTTTTGCAATAACAAATTCTTGGTGGACGAAGTCACTGACAATAGCTAGTCATTTATATAATCCATACCAAAATACCTACATTATAATTAACTTATAACAAATCATTTATATAATGAATACCACCATCGAATAATGAAAAAGGAGATAAATTAATACATAAAGAAGAAGAAGAAGATTTATCAGAAGACATTGTACATTAACCGGACCTACTTATTTATAAAATATGCCCCATTTTTGGGACGCTTCTGCAGGAAAAGCCTACTTGTACCTTTACTAAATGTTACGAATAGAATCATGTAATAGAATGTCTTACTGTAATGAACAGTACTTTTTGAATTACAAAACCTTAATTTAAAAAAAAAGTTTAACGCTTTAAAACGTGATATATATCAGTTAAACTTATTCGAAAATTATTTCAATTACAGCCCAACGTACGTACGGTACGACGTGTCTTCCCGTGACCACGGCTGCTTCAATCCATCCGAAACGTCGAGTCGTAGTTAAAATAGTTTTAAAAATTAACGCGATATACATAATATGTTAGTTATTTTTTTTGTAAATATTTTTTTAACAATAATTTTTTAATTTATAAAACGTATTATTTTGTTTTGTGTACTACTCGCGTAAACTACAGACAGTATACAAGAATTATTATGAAAAGAGTTATTATAATAAAGACAACTCCAAATTTTATTCCCAAATTGGATTTGTCATGTCTATTTATTTAATCTCTGTAGTTTTATTTTATTTTTGTTACATTACACTATTCGCTTTACTTTATGTACGAAGACATAAAATGTAACCATAAAATGTTTAGTTTAAAAGTCGAGATCGTATGTTTATGCAGAATTGTGAAATTAATATTTATTAAGAAGCAATCTCGCGCAATTAGCAAACCTACACCCATATCGGAGTCGGCAGGCCAGCAAGATATTATGACTCATAACTAGAGGTCGCAATTTCCTTTAACAAAACAAAAAATATTTATCCCTTAATTAGGGGCGGGACTGGTTTCATAGTAGATACTGTCTTATTTACTTTGATATAAAAATATACCTTTTTTTATATAAAAGCAACGGGTCGTAGATTCGATTCTCGGCGGATCAAACATGAAAAATCAATTTATAAATTTTCTGAAACATGTCTGACATTAAATGTGTGGTATG